GGAGAAATTACAAACAACAAGCGCTACCCTACACTGCTCAAAACTTGCATTTGAATCGTCAGTGGCAAATTCTGTTCTTGCAAAGTTGGAATTGCCCCACTCCGGGACACGGCATCACAGTATGTTAAGGGGCTTAACATTTCCGTCACACGCTTGAGGTATTCGGCCAATCACAACGCACTGGATAGCTGGCCAATCACAGCACACCTCGCTTTTCAGACCGATGAGCTTTGTAAAAATCAGCGCGTTTCAGAAAGGCGGGGCATAGAGGAGAAACAATAATGTACAGTATGTGGAAAATAATGTGTTTTTTGAACCTTAAACCGCATAAACACATTTCATTACACCAAATACACAAAATAATGTTCTTTATAGCGACATTAAAACCCCTTTAATGGAATCTAGAATTCTGGTTCTGTGAAGAGCCATTAACCGTGGAAACTTTCCATTACACAAAAGGTCCTTTATAATGGAAAAAAACGTTCTTCAGATTAATAAAATATTCTTTTAAGAACTGTTCACTGGTTATTTGTGGAACCCAAAATGGTTCTTCTATGGCATTGCTGCGAAAACCTCCTTTTGGAACCTTCCTTTTAAAGAGTCAGTTCAAAGGCTTTACAGTGCTAAAGATTTTTTTTGTACTTCTGTGTTTAACAGGTTTTCGCAATTTGCACATCAATGACCAGATGACGTTAATCCAGTATTCTTGGATGGGTTTAATGTTGTTCTCACTGGGTTGGAGAACCTTTCAGAATGTCACCACTGATTACTTGTACTTTGCGCCCGATCTCATCTTGAGCCAGTAAGTAACAGTAAAGACAACTGAATTAAAATATTTTAAAGAGTAAAGACCCCTATATACTTCAAGCTAAATTGGTAAACAAATTGGCATGACGTCTTTTCGAAACAAAATCAGGCCAAAACAAAGTTTTCTTAGGATTTCATAACAGCTTCCCGAAACAAAATTTATGGAAACACATTTAAACTACCATTGGTCTGTGGCAATTACATAATTGTAATTTCAACTGAAAGCAACACTGACACTGTTTTCTAATTTTTTACGGTAAATCTGCTTGCACTCAAACAATTGTATGCAATATGTAAGTGCTATAAATAAATGTGACCTGACTTGACTTGACTAGAGTACTGAATTGCAGAGCTGGTGCAAACATATTCAAGCGATCAGATGCTTTTTTAAATGCTGTTTTCTCACTGTTTCCATTTATTTGTTTATTGTGCTCTTAAGAGAATAGTTCACAGCACATATTTGCTCGCTAACAGTATACCGCTGCTCAGGTATATCAAACATCCAAGCAAAGAACGAAAAAGAACTTCACTGTGAGTAAATCAGGGGCTTTATGTCTCTTTACCGATTTTGTACTCTATTTCTGGAAAGTTCCTGGCAATTAGAATCCTAATAGCTACATTCAGACATGCAGACATGGATGCGTGTTAAGGGGCGTAACATTTCAGTCACACGCTTGAGGTATTATAGTTTTATATACTGTGCAGTAAACAACAGACATTTAGATATGCATATACTCAGTATTCTCATAGTGCTGTTTAAATTTTAGAGATCAGATGAGGAGATCTCCGATCTACGACTTGTGCTTGGCTATGCAGTTTGTTCCACAGGAATTTGCCAACTTGCAAGTGACCAAAGAAGAGTTTCTGTGCATGAAGGCTTTGATGCTCCTCAACACTGGTAATAAATCCTCTCTGACCCATACAACTCTTAGCGACTGACCCTCTACAGGTCAGACCGCTGTTCCAGAATGGCATATTAACAATCTGGTCAATTTTAAACCAATGGCCCCATGCCAGTCTGCATGGATTGACAGAGATACGTATTTGGCAAACTGCCAGGCCTTGAAAAGTCCAACTAAGTTTCAATTCCAAGCTAACATTTTTCAAATTAGAACAACAGTAATGCCAATGCAGCCTTCCAATTGATCTGACTACAACATTATTTTACTGATAGAACGTTTCAGTCGACAATATAAGTAACTGTGTAACTAAGTTAAAAAGTAATATCAAAGATGTGTTTAGATGGTAAACCTCATTCTGTAAAACTGGCAATGTAGGACGCTGTCAGTGAAGATATTTTTTACGGTTTACAGAGATATCTCATCAGTGATTTATAGAAGGAACATTTAATTTATCTGTAAAACTAATGCTGTGGTAAACTCTAACTTGACCTTTGGCAGTGGTGTATCGGTAATGATTTAACATGATGTATTTGTGACAGTTCCTCTGGAAGGCTTGAGGAGTCAAACACACTTTGATGAAATGAGACAGAACTACATCTGTGAGTTGACGAAAGCCATCCAGCTGAAGGAGAAAGGAATGGTGGCCAGCTCCCAGAGATTCTACCATCTGACCAAAATCATGGACGCCATGCACGAGGTACAGCACGAGTAAAAAAAAAATAAAATATATATATATATACAAAAGGGAGCTATAGACTAAACCTGGGTCGTTTTTATAGGAAATGTTTGAGAAAGGAAAAATAATTTGAAAAGGAAGCTGCTGAGCTTTTTCAAGAAATCCTGTTTTTCTACCTCAGTCCCAATGTAAAAGCATTGCAACACAATGAAACTTAAGGCCTGTTCACAACAAGAATGATAACTACACTCTAAAAAGAAGTGCTGGGGACCTATTAATACCACTTAAATTAATATATGGTTGTAAATTTACTGATTTAAGTAAACCTTTAAAAGTTGCAAACATTATGGTAATGTCAATCATTATATCATCTCAATATTGTTTGCAATTTAAGAAGACAATTATGACATTATATTTTTAAACGTTTAAATTTTTAAAAATGTATTTTTTTAAATTAAATATTTTAAATAGTGAAATTCCAGTTCCAAGCAAGCTTCGCATACTACTACATAAGTAGAATAAATATTTAAATTAAGTGTCATTTTATGTTTTAAGTAAGGACAAAGATATGTTAGACAAGTTAAAAGAGTTTCTGCTATGTTGAAGTTTTTGTGGTTACCATTTTACTGACAATTACATTTGTCTCATAAACTGCATTTTGACTAATACAGTTTACATTTATTTGGAGTAACTTAATTTTTTTTTTAAAGAATCAACTTAAATACATTGTATATATGATTAAGTTCCATGTAGTTTGTCGGTTGGACACAATTTCTTTTAAAGTTGTCATAACCCAAAAAATGTACGCAAACTTTGATGTATTTTTAAGCTAAAACAGTTGTTTTTAGAGCGTATAAACATAGCGATAACAAATAACTATATTAGCATCCACACCAATGCAGGACAATAATCTGTTTATTATGAGCACTTGATACAGATATGCTGTTTGCGCTTTAAATGCACAAGCTCTTTAATGTCAGGTGGATTCTGATTGGTTGTCCGTGTTCTTAATCGCACATGAGCTGGAAAAATTTGTGACAGAGTAATGCATTGCATAGGGCATTGTTAGAATCACTGTGTCAATATCATTATAATTGTGATGTGGACTTCCATATTCTCAGAATCAGAACGATTAATAAACCTTTATAGTTCCAGCTATCTTCCTTGGCGTGAACAACCCTTTAATCTGTTGTTTTAGAACACATTGTAATAAGCTGAGTGATGTCAATGTGAAAAAGACATCAAATGAACCATTTATCTCATGTATCAAATCTTTTGTATGAAATAGGTCACATCATTAATGAAGCGGCTTTATTCACGTCATCACTTGTTAGATATCAGAATGCACAGAGCATATGATAGGGGAGCCTGATGTGTGACATTGACTTTATCTTTGTGTAGATTGCAAAGAAGTTCAATCTCTACTGTCTGAGCACTTACATCCAGGCGGATGCCATGAGGGTGGAGTTTCCAGAGATGATGTCAGAGGTCATTGCGTCACAGCTGCCGAAAGTGCTGGCGGGAATGGTCAAACCCCTCATGTTTCACAACAAGTGATCCAGACAGGACGCTTGGGTCTGTGCTGATTTACATCTCAGATGAATGTGTACCACATCTAAATAACATAGACATGCATCTTTCCATATACAATCATCCCCTTATAATAGTCACAAGTTCTGATCTAATGTGGTAGTTGAAAATCCACAATTTTTCAATGTGGAGAACTAGAATCTGAAGACAACATGTGATCATGCTGTATTATTAAATCTGCTATTGCCTTTTACAAAACATTACACAGAAAAGCGGTCTTAAAATGTGTTAAAAATGTGATGTATGGATTTTTCAAAGCCTTTTTATTTTTCAAATGACTCCTTAAATATTACTAAAATGTTAACATATTAGACAATAATTTATGGTTAAATTATAAACTTTAAAAAAAAAAAAACTATTTTTCTTGTGTCTGAGTGTGATGAAAAGGAAATGCTTATCTGTCTCACTCCGATAAGTGTCAAGCGGACAGTTTCCATGGTCAGATTTTACAAACGCGCAGTGCCAGGCACCTTTGATTGTACTTACATTTACACAGTATCTGCTCACATCAAATGAAAAATACATAATTATGAAGTATCTAATAAAAAAAAAAAACACGGATTGCATACAACAACAATGTTTGAAAGACAAAGAGCTCATTGGCTCAGTGTTCAACTGTATAATTAATGGATCACTGTATAATACGATCCAGTCTGATGCTTATTTTTAAAGCAGAATATTAAATGTTTTATCAGAAGGCAAGAGCATCAATTTTGAGAAAAAAAATTAATAATTTTTTTTGGATCATCTGACATTTTCTCCGTGACCTTGATGGTTTAGTAAGCTGAAGGGAGTATCAGACAAACATCAGCAGTTAAGGGCACGGAACATTCTCATGTATTTAATTGGGAAAGAACACTGGGATCTTGGCAATCGCCTCCTTTCCAAATACATCTGATGCAGTTTATCCTCAGATCTCCGCCGGAACGAAGTGACTGATGTCTGAGATTTATTTCTGATGATTTGGCTTTTCTTAAATAGAAGACAAGAAGTGGATCTCATTTTATAAACAAATTTATTGGCAGAACAAAAATGAATTAAGAAGAAAAATATGAGTTACAAAATAATTATCCATTTATAAACTTCTATTCTCATATTCATAATATTTAATTATGGAGACAATAAGACGTACCATATTGGTGTTGTTGACACTGACAGTTGGCGTCATCTTAAACTTCAGAAGGAATAATGTGACCTGAACATCATGTACAATGAAGCTGCTACAGCTAGACTTGATTAGCATTTGTAAAGACTGAATTTTACTTGACATTCTGCAGTGACCTGGATGCAAAACTGAGACATGATCCATTGCTATCTCATTCTCTAAACCAGAGATTTTCAAACAGGATTAGAATATTAGACCTTTAAAATATAAATAACTGGAACACTCAGTTGCGTTCCACTGATGTTATTGAATAAGCAGTGTTCCGGGGGTGCTAATATTTCAGCACAAAACTGGAACGTTTCACTGTCCACCAAACATTTGTGCTTAAATGGCTGATTCCAGCAGTCCATGTAGAATTCTATTTGTCAATAACCTACAAAACACATTTTATTAACAGCATAATGTGATGAATATGAATATTATAACTGAAAATATGTAAATATATATATTGTTTGTCCCTTTAATGTCAGCAGCACTCAAGCTGCATAACTAAACCTGATGATCATGTTCTCCAGCATGATTTAAAGATGTTCCTAAGAGCATATTGAGCTTCAGTGTTAAGCTGGAAATCTGACCATGTGGTAAATGTCACAATTTACTTGAAAACCTAATCTTAATTGATTAGTCACCTAGACATACTGCAGTAATTCATTTTCGTATAGTTTCTCTGTTTAAAATGTTCAGAATCCAAACAATGTGGTTTCAGACTTTTGAACATTAATGACAGTAAAAGTAAGTACATTCATGATGAAATAAACCACGCACATCAGAGTTTGGGTACTGCTGAATTGACAGTGATTCACAGCTCAAATAGTTACTGCTGAGGTTTAACATTATGCTCCTTCATTTCAAGGCAGTAAGCATTGAGCTAAAATAAAAGAAAGCCTGTCTAAGCTGATCTTTCTTAACAGAATTACAGTATTCCACCACATAGTAGACCTAAAAACAGCATTTTGTGCAGTCCATCACACCACGTGGTCTCAGTGTATGTGAATTTGTGTATCTAGACTCAAGCAGCACATGATGTCAATTTCAACATTTCTGCCTCAGCTTTGGAACCCATTTGTCTAGAATTACAGCTGCTTTTTAGACATTAATCACCCTTGTGCTGCATCATTGAGGTTTGTGTACCGTCCATTATCTCTTAAGGTTTAATGTCATATTAATGGCACAGTCCACTTGCATAGCCGTCAACGATTGATATATATTTAAAGCCCTTGGTCTAAAGTTGATGTTGCCATGGATACCCATGGCAAATGAGGGGTCCTGGTTGAACGATTGTCAGAGGAACACCACATAATTTTCAGGAACGAGGCCTGTTTTGCCCTCAAATGTTGCCTGGAGCCAGCCCGGTTCCACTGAAGGATACACTACACAGAGGAAAATGAGAAAGTTTAGTGGGGAAGATTGATAGGGAAAATCTATAGTATCATTACTCATACTTAGGGGCACAACAATGGATATGTGGCCTAAGACCATTTTTGAAAGTGTTTTGGGACAGATGACTGAACATCATTGGATCAATACAGCGTATGTTTGTTGATCTTGTACATGCCTTGTATATTTAGCTAAATTAAATTAGCGTAATTATTCTATATTAAATTGAATGTTTGCCAATTTGATGTTACCAATAATGTCTTAATTTTAGAAGCATTAATACAACTGTTAGAAATTACACATAAATCAGTAATGTTCCAGCAAATTCCAGAAAAAGATTGTTTCTAAATCATTTCCGTCGATTACTGACTATATATATGAGCAATATCACACGAGTAGCAGTGTGATATGGCTATATATCAGCACGGCTGTTGTCACGAAGCCATAGGATGGTGTGTGAGTGTGTGTGGGTGATTATTATTTTAGTTACATTATTCTGTAACCAAGTGACTTTATGAGTGAGTCAGCAGTGAAGACTTTTATTTTGAAAGAGACTGGTTGTAAACAAGGAAGTTATTTGTAAGATGCAGCCAACAAATGCACTGAGCAGCGCTGTCATCGGAAATCACCCTTAACAGATAAAAAGGATAGCACCACAAAGATATCGCTTTCCTCAGCAAACATTCAAACTATTGTTTTATTGTGAATATGAGATTGAACTGAAGAATGAATGCTGTATCAGATGCAGGTAATCACACTCATAATCATATAATACAGTGAGCTTTTAATACAGTGATACAATAAGCTTTTAATGAAGCAACTCAATGTTCCTTCGTTACTAGTTCTAAAGTGATGTTTTCAAATTAGTAGAACTTAGTAGGACTTGGGATTGGGCTCAGCTGTTAAATGGTCAAACTGAGATTTGAATCCATGGTGGAAGGAAATAGTTGCACTAGTTGTTTCTTTTTTATTTACACACTTGTGCCATCAAAATGTTGTATAAACACAATATCACATAAGTAGCCGTGCAAATATAAAAGTGTTAAGCTTTCCTTCTCTTGTGCCTATGGCCGAATCACAGCCATATCGCACTGCTACAAGTGTGATATTGCTCATATATATGGAGAGAGAGAGAGAGAAAGAAAACTTAACACTTTTATATTTATTTAAATTAATTATTCAATTAATATAAATTAATAAATTATAAAAAAATTATAATGTTTGCTGATTTGATTTTACCAGTGTAATGTTGTCATACATTAGCTTAAATAGCAATAATGTCTTAATCTTGGAAGCGTTAATAAAACTTAATTTAACTTTATTTAAAAGTATTTTTAATGGCACAAACAACATAGCCAAAAATACAATGGCATTGTTTCAATGGGGTCAGTAAAGTTGTAGGCAAGACAACCAAATTGGCCTTATTGTTCAGCCCACAAACCTTAAGCATTAAATATGGCATTTACCTGTATGTCGTCCCACATGTTAAGTACTTGAATGTTACCTCAAATCATGTGGCATATTGAGGTGTGCCATTATAATAATAACAATAATAATAATAATAAAGTTTATTTTATATAGCGCCTTTCTGCAAACTCCGATTTAGTGAGTGAAGAAATGTGAGGTAGGAAGGAGAGAGAGGAGTAAAAGATTACACCCAGGTTTTTAATGGTGGTGGAAGGTTGAACCAAGATCCCAGCAATGTTAACATAGTCAGCACAGAAAGGAGCAACATATTTTGGTGAACTGACAAGTAGTAGATCTGTTTTTATCAGTGTTGAGTTTGAGAAAGTTACTGGTCATCCAAGCATTTATATCATTAATACAAGCTGATATGGAGGTGGTAGGAAAGGGAGAGTTGTGTTGAGAACTGATATAGAGCTGGGTGTCGTCTGCATAGCAGTGGAAGTTGATGCCGTGATGATGGATAATGTTACCTAAAGGGAGCATATAGATGATGAAGAGTAAAGGCCCAAGAACAGAACCCTGAGGAACACCGTGAGAGACAGGAGCAGTAGAGGACTTAGCCTGGCGGACAGCAATGTAATGCTGACGGTCAGACAGGTAAGTGAACCAAGGTAGGGCAGTTCCAGAAATACCAAGAACAGAGAGTCGTGAGATGAGAATACTGTGAGAGATAGTGTCAAAAGCAGAGGAAAGATCTAATAGAATTAAAATGCTAATGGAGCCTGAGTCAGTGGCCATAAGGAGGTCATTGACAACCTTAAGAAGTGCTGTCTCAGTGCTGTTAAGAGTGTGAAAACCGGACTGGAAACATTCATAAAGGTTATGAGATGACAAATATGATTGAAGTTGAGCAACAACAACTTTTTCAAGTAGCTTTGAAAGAAGAAGATGATTTGAAATTGGTCTGTAATTGGCCATATCAGAAGGGTCAAGGCCGGGTTTCTTTAAGACTGGTGTGACAGCTGCAGTTTTTAATTCAAGAAGAACAGCACCAGTGCTGAGAAGTTAAGAAATGAGAAAGTGAAATAGGCCGAGAAATAACAGGTGCAGAGATTTTGAGTAGAGTAGTAGGAGCAGGATCAAGATGACAGAAAAATGGATTTGATTTTTTGAGTAGCTCAGAGATATAGGCAGGAGTTGGAGGGTCAAAATCAGTCAAAGTACCAGCTGCAAAATCTGAGGGGAAGTCATGTGAGTGGATAGGGTAGTACATTGTTGGAAAGAGATTATATATGCAATTTATTTTATTTTGGAAGAAGTGTAAGAATGACTCACAGAGGTCTACTGAGTTACTCATGACAGGTGAAGGAGGGTTGGTGAGTTTGTTGACTACAGAAAACAGTGTTTTAGGACGGGAGGATGCATTGGTAATGAGGGCAGAATAGTAACTGGAGCGTGCAGTATTTAAAGCAGATTTATATTGCTGAAAGTGGTCCTTGTAAGCAACAAGACGCACATTCAAACCAGTTTTCCTGTAAAGGCGTTGAAGGCGACAACCAGTAGTTTTCATTATTTTTCTAAGTCGTGTGATCAGACGTATGATTTTGATAAGTTGACCATTTAACCTCATCTCAGACAAACACAGCATGTAGTCCTAAATAAACTTGAAACACTGGAGCCATTATGTTTAAAGTGATTTGTTTGGCCATTATTTTCACAAAACAATAGTAACCTAGGAAAGGGGGGTATTCTGATTCTGATCAGTGAACCGCATATGCAGAGTTTTAATTAATGGCGGATCAAGTCAGGTCAGTTTGCTCTAATATGAGTCAGATGAGTCCTCTGCACAATCTAACTTTGCTGCAGCATGGAACAAACTGCTAGTTCGTCTGGTCAGAGGAAAACTGGCCCCCTGACTGAACCTGGTTTCTCCCAAGGTTTTTTTTCTCCATTCTGTCACCGATGGAGTTTTGGTTCCTTGCCGCTGTCGCCTCTGGCTTGCTTAGTTGGGGACACATAATTTCCAGCGATATCGTCGACTTGATTGCACAGAAACTATTGTCCATTTGCATTATTGACACACTATTTTCCTATTTGATCATTGTAAAACTGCTTTGACACAATCTCTATTGTTAAAAGCGCTATATAAATAAAGGTGACTTGACTTGATAAATGACCACCATAAAGCTTTCAAAGGACCTCACAAATTACTTACCCTGTAATGACGCATTTCAACGTACTCTGAACTATCAACGCCTCTGTTTAGACTGTAAAGCATTATGCAGATGAGATTGGAAAATAAAGAGGTTTTAAATCGGTTTTTATAAGCAGAACTCTCAAAAGTCAACATAGTGAGAAGGTTGATGGGTAAGAGGAGGTTTATGTTGTGCTAAGTGTTTGCTGAGCTTTAGAGAGGGGAAGACGCTGCCTTCACCAGGTTACTGTGACCTGTTTCAATGCCCTGGTGCCCAGCCAAGTTTGTTCCTTGTGGAAAATACATTCAGCTATAAAATCCCAGTCCTGACATGTACGAAGAACAACAACAGATGGTCGTTCCACAGAGCAGACACGGGAATGCATTATTTTCTATGAATATTAATGCCCTGGTATGCAGCAATGTGCATCAGTCCAGTCATAGTTCATTCTCTTTTTGAGATTTGTAACCGTCACTGCAAGTCAGTCACAAAAGACGTACATATTTTAACTTCCTTCAAAACACATTCCCAAAACAGCAATACGCAGATTTGGTATCATATTCATGGCCAGAATTGCTCCATGTTTCTTAGTATATATTGCAGCCACAGTTCATTCAAAGGTCACTTATAGATAGATAGATAGATAGACTCACCGTTGGAGAAGTGGGCCCCCTGTGGGAAGCTCAGCTCATTGCTGTGTTCTGCTTCACATGAATATATGGCTTTGGCATCTCTGCGGATTAAAATCAGAAATGATTTACCGATGTGCTCATACACTGTTTTAAAAGAGATATTTGTTGGTTTTATTTTTTATGACGTTTGCCATTAAATATATGTGAAACAGTGATGTTTTTATGGGCCCTGTCCATTGGTACCTTCCCAAGGGAGGAGGTTTTACAGCTGATGGGTTCTCAAAAAGCAGCGCTCTGGCAGCCACCCTGGAATATACAACCATGCCAAATGCTAGGATGATTGTCAACTTCAAGATCTGACGTCACAAGAATTAGGCTGAATAAACAAACTTTTTTCAGCTAAAGCAGGTAGCAACAATTTGACCCTTACATTTACAGTAAAAAACATTGCTGTGAGCTGGTAAATTTACAACAAGGATATATAATATGCATAGTATACAGATGTGAGCATCACCTCTGTAGCAGTGATTCATGTGCACTTTATAACTATTAAAGTAACATACAAATTCACAGGCCAAACATTTTTCAAATTAACATGTTGCTAACACTTGTGGCTGTACATCTTATATAAGCAAATAAAAGGGTTTTTGAATTGAGTACTCTTAAGTGAGCTGTGATGTTTCTTTTGTTCTCTGTCATGACAAGTAAAATGATATATCCTTCCCTGGAGAGAGTGTCTAAAAACCAGCGCTAGGTCACATCAACCCTTTCAGCAGCATAATTAAAACTCCTGCCAATAAAGAACAACTGACATCAATCTCCATTCAGCAGCTTCCTCTCCAAGCCAGCAACTGCACTACAAAATACTGCACTGTAAAATAATGCACGATGTTGCCTCACTTTGCTCACTGAATAATGTTTTTACATTCCTCATGATGTAGTGTTTTAAAAGCTGACAATAATTTGAATGCACATCTTACATGATCAGTTCTATTATTTCTGGAAAAATAAATCAACTGCACTGAGATCAAAATAAAATAAATACTTACAGTATATATATTTATACATATGTATATGTATTTTTTTCAAACTTTTGCCTGCCAAATCAATTTCCTCAAAAGTGTATTCCTCAAAAGTGTTCCATTTGTTAACCTTGGTTAACTAACAATGCAAAATTATTCAATTAAATTATTATTATTACTGTTACTATTATTTAATGGACCTGATTATTTTTTTATGAACAGTTTTTTTTATTATTAGATAATATTAACTACGATGAATAAATACTGTAAAAAAAATGTACTGCTCATTGTGAGTTCATGTTAACAGCGAGATAATGTTAATTGCAAGATAAACTTGCAATTCTGAATTTTTTTCTTTGAATTGTAAGTTTATCTTGAATCAGTAAATTTATCTCACAGTTGACTTTTTTCTCAAATTAAGAAATTGTAAGAAAATAGTATTTTTTCCCTCAGAATTGGACTTTATGAGAAAAGAAGTCAGAATTGCAAGATATAAATGTGCAATTACGAGAAAAAAACTCAGAATTTCGAGTTCATATCACGCATTTCTGAGACAAAAACTCTTCTGATTTTATCACTCGCAATTGTGAGTTTATATCATGCAATTCGGTGGAAAAAAGTCTTAATTTTTTTTATTCAGTGGCAGAAACTGGCTTCCATAATATATATAGCTAGTACATACAGAATGCAAAAGAATAGATTTTTAAGAACTTGACATGTTTTAAAATGAAGTAAGTTAAATTTAAGTTTTCATCATCTTCATCCTCAAATGTTGACTGGGATCTGTCATTGAACCATGAACTCTTGGGTAGACGTGGTCCCTCAGAATTGGACTTTATGAGAAAAGAAGTCAGAATTGCAAGATATAAATGTGCAATTACGAGAAAAAAACTCAGAATTTCGAGTTCATATCACGCATTTCTGAGACAAAAACTCTTCTGATTTTATCACTCGCAATTGTGAGTTTATATCATGCAATTCGGTGGAAAAAAGTCTTAATTTTTTTTATTCAGTGGCAGAAACTGGCTTCCATAATATATATAGCTAGTACATACAGAATGCAAAAGAATAGATTTTTAAGAACTTGACATGTTTTAAAATGAAGTTTTTTTTCATCATCTTCATCCTCAAATGTTGACTGGGATCTGTCATTGAACCATGAACTCTTGGGTAGACGTGGTCACAGGGTAGACAGGGTCTCCAAACATATCAAGTTTTTTTCTAACTTCTAACAAACTGGATGACTTCTCACAAATCTGAGAATGAATACTAGAGGAACAGACAGAGCTGGGTTTTCATCAAATGTCAGCTTTAGCATCAGTGGGTTGGATACTGATTAGAGAGATTCACTTACACTGATCCTGGTCTCTGATAGCCGTTGGTAGAGCTGTTGTTGTCCAGCTTTCGGCGCAGGATAGTTTTAGGTGGCAGATCATGGCAGGCTGTGGATCTGATGCCGTCTTTATGCACCACACATGCTAGATTCTGTAAAGACCCCACACAGCTCTTACGACCTCCAGAGAGCCCAAAACAAAATAACAAAATAATTAAATTGGTTTCTTTTTGTGTAGATTTGTGTAGAGGTTTTAAACCAACATTAAAATATACAATAAAATAATAGAAAAAAATTAAGTAAATTTTAATACAGTTTTGTAATGGAAAAAATAGGACATACACTACTGGTCAAAATTTGGAATATATATGTGACCATGGACCACATAACCAGTCATAAGGGTTTGTTAAGATAGGACAATTTTTGGCCGAGAAATTATTATTATTTTTTTTAAAGTTGTCCAAATTAAGGCCTTAGCAACACATATTACTAATAAAAAAAAAGTTATGATATATTTACGGTAGGAAATTTATAAAATATCTTCATGGAACATGATCTTTACTTAATATTCTAATGATTTTTGGCATAAAAGAAAAATCGATCATTTTGACCCATACAATGTATTTTATGCTATTGCTACAAATATACCCCAGCGACTTAAGACTGGTTTTGTGCTCCAGGGTCACATATACAAATATATATATACTTCAAAGGAAGTGTCTCATGCTCAGCAAGGCTGCATTTATTTTGACCATAAAATGCATTATAAAAATAATACTGCAAAAGGTTTATACTTTTAAACATAAAAGTACAAAAAACTTCAACTTAAAACGTTTAACCACTAATGCAAGTTATTGGCCCCTACCTTCTGTGATGTGTAAAGATGGGGCACTTGAGCGGTTAAGCTGTGCTAATTTGATTCCTACTTCAGAGTGAGGAGCCTTTGTGGGTGCTGGTGAAGATCTGGCAGCTGCTGAGCCTGAGTTCTTCCTACAGGAGTCGTCCCAATCCACACGGCCCGTGTCCTCTCTGGAGCTGGAGTCTGGACTGCTGGTGCAGGTGGGGCCCTGGGGCTCGCTGGAGGACAGGGAGGAAGGGGTCCGCCGCAGGCCGGGGAAAGGGGGCTTGTCTTTGGGCTTTGGAGAGGAGCAGGTTTTGGAGGAGCTGTTCTGCTCTGAGGAGTGGGAGGAGAGGGAGTCCATGCTGCCGATTGGAGTGCTGCCTGAACTGCTGCTGAACGTGTCACCTGCAGGGGCAGTACGGACATGTGCTGTGAAGACACATAACACCTGAAAACAGTCTTCAATTCATTACATTTTTTACATTAATTATGTAAAATGTACTGGTTTCTAACATAAATCTAAAACCCAGAGGATGTACTCTCAGCAGTGACTGTGAAATGTGAGGATGACTGGTCGTGTGAGACTCACTGTCTGCATCTGCCAGGCACATTGAGGGTGTGTAGAGGCTCTTGGGTTTGCGTGGTCCAGACGAGAGGCAGATGGCTCTGCTCCTGCGAGACCCCGGACGAGACTGAGGCTGCGACAGGGGAACATTAGGGTCTGGCGCCTGATGAAATATCTGTGAAGACAAAAATAAAATAATAATACTAATAATACATTTATACCGCATGGATGCATTAAGTTGATTAAAAGTGAGAGTAAAGTCTTTTACATTGTTACAAAAGTTTTCTATTTCCAATAAATGCTGCTCTTTTGACCTTTGCATTCATCAAAGAATCCTGGAAGAAAACATGTATCACAGTTTTCACAAAAATAACAATTTTCAACGTTGATAATACTAAGAAATGTTTCTTGAGCAGCAAATCATCATATTAGAATGGTTTTTGAAGATCATGTGACACTGAAGACTGGCGTAATGACGCTGAAAATTCAGCTTTACCTTCACAGGAATAAATACAATTTTAAAATATATTAGAAAACAATTATTTTTAAATTGTAATAATATTTCACAATATGACCTTTTTTTCCTGTGTTTTTGATCAAATAAATCTTACCAACCCCAAAACTTCTGAACGGTAGTCAATATAGACATATACAGATACAGTATGAATGTATCATTTCTAACAGGAGTATGTTGTGTATTATCTTTGCTTTCACTTGCCTTCTCAAAATTTTCAATGAGAATTTCTACCACGATGTTTTGGAATTTGATGTTCATCATGGCGGCAACAGTTTCCTCCTGTGAGCGCATAAGCGTAGGGCCAAAGATCACTCCCAGATTGGACACGGTCATCATGTTACTCTCACTGTGAGTGGACACACTGCAGGGACACATGCCAGTCAAACTCTCAAACCAATATCACACTTCAAATAATACTTAATTACCCCACAAAACTAACTGATACCAAGGTAAACTTACATGCAGGACCAGACCAGACTATGGTGCTTAATGCAATCTACTGCTATTTAGTGGGCAATGCTTTTTACCATTAAAATTTTAGGTGGTGAAGAACATTGATCAAGTACGCCTCGATCATGGTTAAGCTAGTTCAAGTCTTGTGAAGATGCCAACACTCTAAATAAATCTACAACATATTACTTGAGACTAAGAAGAAAGTGAGCTAAGGGAGAGAAGAGTTTTAATTTTTGAGTAAAGTTTTCCTTTCGACAGTAAAAAATGAATATAAATCTACATGTTCAATCATACTTGAGTAGATGTTCGATTAATATCTCCAGCATCTCTTTGTTTTTGTCAGGTAGTTTATGCACCAGTGTGTGAACTGCACACACTCTGTAGTTCTGATCATCAGATTCTGAAAGAAAACAGACCAAATATATCAACACACACCATCAGCACAAACTCAACACAAACAGGGGCCCCTGGCAGGAGTGTACGCACAGAGACACTTTTTAAAAAATGAATGAAGGCATCTCTGGATACATTAATAATGCTTTCAACCCTGAAAAAAAAACAAAAAACACACAAAACAAAACATGAAAAAAAAAAAAATCTAATCTAATCTAAATAAAATAATAACTGAAAAACAACACGGGGGGTGAACACAAACAGTTTCGGTGCGAATGGCCGCTTATTCACATGACTCAGCACAGCAGTAGCTTAATTTTTTAAGTTAACTTTCAAAATGTTTTTCCAGATGTAATTCCCAGATATGGGTGTCAAGTTATAAAATATTTTTAGTTCAAGTTTCACTGAACTGAATAGTTTTAGTTCAAGCGAAGCAGGAGTGCATTCTACTGTAATTAGCATGAAATAAACATGAATGAACATCTGAGGGCATGTTGAAAGATACACTACAACTTATGTAGTGTCTCATGTAATCACTTTGTGAGTGTTTCAGCCGCGGAACAGCAGCTTGAAAACATTGTCGCATAACCTCAGAAAATCCATTCAGTGTCCATAAACTAGAAAAATGTACACTAGAGAGGATAATTTTGCAAAAAATTACATTTATTATATTTCTACTCACATAATTACTCGAAGTTAATATAACAATATTATAAAATGGTCTAATATGAACTTGTATACTAATCAATTGTTACTTTTAACCTTAACAATAGGGTTCCCTGTATTGTTTAGTATAGAGAAATTGAGAAAAAATAACATGTACTTAATCGCAAGCTTGTTAATTATTCCTAAATAGTTCTCACTGCAGGATGAACTCAAAAGTAAGTTGAAGTTTTAGGTTTCCTGAACAACAATTCACTGTATAAGTTAATGTTAGATCTTTTGCTCCAACCGCTGGTTAATCAGATGATAGAAATAAGAGAAACAAGTTCCAATTGACTAACATTTGAAGTTACGGTAGGAATGTATAGCTAATGTGGGGTAATGTTAAGTAATCAGCAATCGTAGGATTTATTCATGCTTTTTTATGCCAGGTTGGAGTTATACACTGATTTTCATTTTTCTGGCCACCCCATGTATAAAACTTTAGCTCCGCCACTGTCTACACTACACTGTGAAATAAATCTCTTACTTAGATCATACGTACATTTGCACTTTGTTGTCAGTGAGCGTGCGCACTGAACAAAACTTCGGAGTTTCAGCGACGTCTAATCAGAATGCCTCTGATTGGCCATTGCATTCATAACATCAGCAGATCTAAATTTAATGCCTTAATCTACACTTTTTATTTCATTTTCACTTTATTCCCGACAGCCGTAATAGTCCAGATGATATGTGCAAAATTTGAGGTGATATGTTCACTTTTTCATAAAAGCATGAAACTTGGTACACTTGTACAGTTTGGGGCCCTGAACATTTTCAGAGATGGAGCCATCGCAAAAACACCTCGTGGTTGCCATGGCAGCCATTTTACTTTCCGCCATGACCAAACTATGTATTTTGTGTCATATCTTCGGCATCAAACATGATAATACAGAAAAGGTGATGTCTACCCATATATTTTAATGGTCAAGGATTACAATGATACCATATGCAACAACATAAACGGTTTAGGTGAATAGTTAATGGTGAAATCAGTGACGTGAGAAGGAAATCACAGTATCTGAGTAGTACAGTATCACAGCACCTATAATAGTCCATATGGCTATTTATTTTCTTTTTCTTTGATAATTGACTACATTTTTGTTCAGTAATACAATATTGTTTTCAAGAATACAATCATATATTTCAGAGATATATAAAAAAATCCTCTCAGGTAAGTATATTAATACTTGTCTCTCAGGCAGAGTCAGGTAGGTGGTAGCGTGTAAGTGTTTGCTTAATACCTTGTTTCTGTTTCTGTTGTTTAGGTTTTTATTTGCTGTTAAGAAGGCTATTTCATTTACTATTTCTATTTTACTTCTTTTGTTATAATTTGTATTTTGATTGCACATATTTGTAATTAGAATAAAAGCCGTCGGCTAAGAAGAAGCTTTTGATATTTGTATTGCTTGCTTACTGCACGTAAGTGGCAAACTGTCCCACAGTAGTTTTGATTTGAGCCATTCGCATGCTATAGGCTTTTGGTGTGCTAACTGTTAAGGCATCCACAGCTGTATTCACTCAAGAGTTGATAAGCTGTGCATTTATTTGTAATCTGTGCACAGACGTGGAATACCTGTGACTCTACTTGTGTGACTCCACCGGGCAAGGACACAGACACGGCACTTAAGTATCTTTATTTTTCTTTCCGCACACACTCTACTTACAACTTTTTCCCACATCTATCATTTTTCCAATACATTCCTGTTTTTTCTCAACAATGCTCTAACATCAAACACAGACAGCAATGCCATCTTGCTAACCTTCGTCCTAGCTACACCTCTTCTACTGCACCCCAAACCAAACTCAGTTCAGCAGAGACAGAATGGCACAAATCAAAAGATCCATCTGACCTGAGTATATATCAGTCTTTGTTTTCATCTTTCTCTGTTAAAGTCCATGCTGCTAAATCTTTGTATTTCCACAACAAGATCAACAGCGCTTCAGACACATGTAATCTCTTCAAAACATTAAATTCCCTCCTCTGTCCCCCTCCACCACCTATTTAACAGCTCATGATTTTGCTGCATTCTTCACAGACAAAACTAAAACCATCAGCAGACAGTTCTTAGCTCCACACACACAGGAACTCAATAGTTAATGGTGAAATCAGTGACGTGAGAAGGAAATCACAGTATCTGAGTAGTACAGTATCACAGCACCTATAATAGTCCATATGGCTATTTATTTTCTTTTTCTTTGATAATTGACTACATTTTTGTTCAGTAATACAATATTGTTTTCAAGAATACAATCATATATTTCAGAGATATATAAAAAAATCCTCTCAGGTAAGTATATTAATACTTGTCTCTCAGGCAGAGTCAGGTAGGTGGTAGCGTGTAAGTGTTTGCTTAATACCTTGTTTCTGTTTCTGTTGTTTAGGTTTTTATTTGCTGTTAAGAAGGCTATTTCATTTACTATTTCTATTTTACTTCTTTTGTTATAATTTGTATTTTGATTGCACATATTTGTAATTAGAATAAAAGCCGTCGGCTAAGAAGAAGCTTTTGATATTTGTATTGCTTGCTTACTGCACGTAAGTGGCAAACTGTCCCACAGTAGTTTTGATTTGAGCCATTCGCATGCTATAGGCTTTTGGTGTGCTAACTGTTAAGGCATCCACAGCTGTATTCACTCAAGAGTTGATAAGCTGTGCATTTATTTGTAATCTGTGCACAGACGTGGAATACCTGTGACTCTACTTGTGTGACTCCACCGGGCAAGGACACAGACACGGCACTTAAGTATCTTTATTTTTCTTTCCGCACACACTCTACTTACAACTTTTTCCCACATCTATCATTTTTCCAATACATTCCTGTTTTTTCTCAACAATGCTCTAACATCAAACACAGACAGCAATGCCATCTTGCTAACCTTCGTCCTAGCTACACCTCTTCTACTGCACCCCAAACCAAACTCAGTTCAGCAGAGACAGAATGGCACAAATCAAAAGATCCATCTGACCTGAGTATATATCAGTCTTTGTTTTCATCTTTCTCTGTTAAAGTCCATGCTGCTAAATCTTTGTATTTCCACAACAAGATCAACAGCGCTTCAGACACATGTAATCTCTTCAAAACATTAAATTCCCTCCTCTGTCCCCCTCCACCACCTATTTAACAGCTCATGATTTTGCTGCATTCTTCACAGACAAAACTAAAACCATCAGCAGACAGTTCTTAGCTCCACACACACAGGAACTCAAACCAACCACATCCACTGCTAAAACTCCCCTCTCCTCCTTCTGTCGCCTCACTGAGGCAGAAGTATCTAAATTTCTCTTTGTCAGCCATCCTACAACAAGCCCTCTAGATCCAATCCCCTCACACCTTCTCCAAGCTATCTCTTCTACACTTCTACCAGCACTCACACATATCATCAACACATCTCTTTTCACAGGTATTTTTTCCCCACCGCATACAAGCAGGCTCGGGTAACCCTACTGCTAAAAAAAAAATACATTAAACACTTCACTTGTAGATAGCTACAGACCTGTCTCTCTTCTTCCATTCATATCAAGAACACTTGAATGAGTTGTTTTCAACCAGGCATCATTATTTTTTTCACACCATAACCAGCTGGACATTAACCAATCAGGTTTCAGAAGCAGCCATTCAACTGGGAATGTGTTACTGTCGGCCACTGAAGCCCTGCGGATTGCGAAAGCTGATTTCAGATCATGTGTTCTCATTCTGCTGAATCTATCTGCCGCTTTTGATGCTGTAAATCATCAGATTCTCCTGTACACCCTCTCTTCACTGGGCATCACAAGATCTGCATTTCATTGGTTTGAATCTTACCTCATAGGTAGGTCTTTCAGGGTGGCCTGGGGAGAGGAGGTATCCAAAGCAAATCAACTGGTCAATGGGGTTCCTCAGGGATCAGTTCTTGGACCCCTCCTCTTCTCCATATACACTACATCACTGGATCCCATCAAACAAGTACATGGTTTCTTCTATCATTGCTATGCTGATGACACACAGCTCTATCTTTCATTTCAACCAGACGATCCAACGGTAGCTGCATGGATCTCAGGCTGCCCGGTGGACATCTCAGCATGGATGAAGGAAAATCACCTGGCAAAGACTGAGCTTCTCGTCTTCCCTGTCACTCTGATTTTACCGGATGATTTCACCATCCAACTAGGTTAATCAACAATTATCCATTCAAGTTCAGTCAGAAATCTTGGTGTAATCTTTGATGATCAGCTGACCTTCAAGGACCACATTGCAAAGACAGCTTGACCATGCAGATTTGCATTGCACAACATCAGAATGATCAAGCCCTTCCTAAAAGAGCATGCTGAACAACTTCTTGTTCAGGCCCTTGTCATTTCTAGTCTGGACTACTCTTTTGGCTGGACTTCCATCATGTACAATGCAACAGCAGGTTTGATTTTCAACGAGCCCAAAACGGCCCACATCACACCTGAATCGCATGCTGTATTCCTCAATTGTAAGTCACTTTGGATAAAAGAGTCTGCTAAATGAATAAATGTGTCAGGCAGAGTGTTGACTGTTACCAAGGTGACAGTAGAGTGACAGTTCATCAAGAAGGAAGGCTGCACTGAGCACTATCAAAGACTATAGAATATGCAAGACGTGTCACTCATATAGCTGCTCATATAGTCACTCACATTCTGAGTAAAAGAGCCAATCGCTATTCGGTAAAGTCATTGCGTCACTGCAGCTGCCATTAGAAGTCACATTGCTATAGAAATAGTCAGTGTTCTGGAGACGCGCGCTTAGGACTTTGCAGGTGCATTGGCTGGTCTAGCCTGAAAAATAAGCTTTTTTAACGCTAATTTGGAAGTATCCATTGAAATAAATGCTTCCCCCTTGTGGACACTAACATAATAGGCAACTCTGGCCCCAGAGGGTGATTGTAAATTAAGTTTGCAGGAAATATGCTTAAAATTTCATTCTGCATCGTGTCAGATAATGTGATTTCATTGTAATTCTTTTCACAACGTCACACTGAATTCACCATTAAATATTCATCTCAACAGTTTATGTTGTTGTATATGATATCATTGTAATACATAAAAACAGAGGTAGACATCACCTTTTCTGTGTTATCATGTTTGGTTCAGGAGATATAATACATAATTTGGTTATGGCGGAAAGTAAAATGGCCGCCATTTTTGCGATGGCTTAATTTCTGAAAATGTTCAGGGCTTTTTCATGCTTTTTCAAGTTTCATGCTTTTATGAAAAAGTGAATTTTTTTTTCACATACCACCTAGAGTCTAGACTATAATAGATTTTGTTTAGTGGTGCAGGGGCATTTTTGTTCAATTTGGTGGAATTTTCCAGGCTTGCCCAGCCTGCAGACGCTCCATCTACGTGATTCAGAGAGCAAACAGATGCCAATCAACCGTTTTGCAATTGCCCTCAGTTAGCAAAGAGAGAAATGACTCAAAAGAATGATTAAATCACAAATGATTGTTCATTCGACAGAAATACGGGACACAAACAATAACTGCTGAAATATTTGCAAGAAAAATGTGAAAATGTTTGTCTGTAAGGGTGCTCATAGTACACACAGTGGATACAGCCGTGCACCTGCAGGCACCACTGAACACAAATATATACATAAATACATTTTCAGTGTGTTAATGTTTAACATGCAATTCAAAAGCTTTGTAACTTACTGACAGCCAAGAGGAAGTCTGAGTGGAGCCTGTATGTCATGAGAGGCTCAGAAAGACACCTGGTGGACGGAGCCGAGAATTACATCTTGTTAGTTCTCTCAGAAAAAAAACTTTTGGTTATTTTCAGCTCTCTCAAATTGAGAAAGGTACACTCTATTTCAGTGTAATTTTCCTGAATGTACAGTTCCCACTAGCGTTTTGAATCTCCATAAGAAGTAATAACATCAGCCTGTAACATGTAGAAAAACCTAAGGAACACACTAACCTGAGGTAATTCTTGAGGCCGCTGGTGATGGTCTTGTTGTCCCAGGTATCTGGGTCAAGATCCATATCTGATGCTGCTTTGGGTGCTGTAAGAGAAAACCAGGAACATGTACACCATTATTTGTGTGCAAATGCTGGGGTCATATTTAAAGGTGTCTGACCCATGGAAAACTGCTAATCCAAAATAAAAGCAATGTATAACGTCTTGTAGAGTGAAGTAACTTACAGAATGCTGTGGTCATGAGTTTCTGAACTTTTGAGTTTATTCCACCGACTCTGTACAAACCCATAGTGTTGAGCCCTGCTGAGAGGAGAACATATACAGTACATACAAAAAAAAAAGGAATGTTTTAGCCACAATAAATATCCTATACATGACATAAAAGGAAATCAGTACTCCAGGAAACACACAACTCACCTCTCACCTCCACCAGCTGTATACACTTCCTCACAAAATTAAAGCCAGTTTCGTTTAAATATGCTGCAAAAGACAGGTGAACAGAAACAACATATTCAATAGATAGATTTAGCTTGTGTCACACTCTGGGGGATACAGCTTACTCCGGTTGTGCTAAATGTAATGCGATCGACCTTGTAAAAGGAAATGAGAGAGCAGAGACACACAAAGGGTGTAGTGAAGGGAAACAGAACCCATTATCTGAACGAGTGTTTGTTAAACACAGTTAATCTGATGAGAGCATGTGAGGTCAGACTCAAACGTCAAGCTCACTCTGACTGAAACAAAAACAAATAGGCAAGAAAATAAAATGAATTAATTAATAACACTGCGGCTTTGCTTAAAGACTTAAATACTTACTCTCCTCTTTCTTGCTCAGAATAGCAGGAAGGTTGTAGATCTGGAAGAGAAAAAAAAGTATTATATTAAGTGAATCAAGAATTACTTGTTGAGCAATGAAATTTCAGATAAATGGCGTATCGATTTTTTACATGTTCTGACAAAAATACCTGAGCTTGAGGATCTTCTGAAGCTTGAATCAATACAGGAGCAAATGATGACAGCTATGTCAAGATTGTATTAAATCAGACAAGAAATCTGCTTGAGGACTCACCGGCTCTTTGCCATCCATAGCTTCCAACCAGAGTCTCCTGTTGGACTCAGACAGCGCTTGTAGCGTGATAATGCCATGCCTGAAGACAACGCAGCACTTAAAAGTCTGACATGCTCTAGAAATATCTTACTCATCTACATCTACTCATCTAATATAGTTCCTGAATAGAGCCTTTGGAGAAACTGAAGCATGTAAAGGATTTAGACCCAAATGAAATGTTGCCACATACTATACAATTCACCCCAAAATGAAAATTGTGTCATAATTTACTCATCCTGATGTCATTCCAAATCTGTATGACTTTCTTTCTTCTGTGAATTGTAAAAAAGGATATTTTGAAGGCAGTTGCTAACTAAACATTTTTGGTTACCACTGACTTCCATAGTATGAAAACTGTTCTTCCATTGTATGAAAACTTCTGTAAATGATGACAAAATGTTCTTTTTTTGGGCAAACTATCCCTTTAAGTCAGGTTGAGTAGCAATTGTTCACCCGCCAAAAAGATGATGCCATTCCAAACCTGTAAGACTTTCTTCCTTAAATGAAACACAAATAATTAAACTGTTCTTTTCCATAGAATGTAGGGCTGTCAAAATGACTGAAAAACTAAATTCGAACTTTCTACTTAAATATGAATTATATAATTAAATTCGAATTATATTCTAATTTAAAAGGCATAATTTCAGTTAAGGGAAAAAAAGCTATTGGCTTCTCTCCCGAGGCCACAAGAGGGCGCATCGAGCAAAATATTATGCACGTTTCTTCAAAGCATAATAAAATAACACGACTATCTTTGAAAAAAGTGCATAATGTTTAAAATAATGTTTATAAACCATATATAATTAATAAAGTTGCTTAAACAATTAGAAAAAAAAACAGCACCATGCATGTATGTATAGTTTAATACAAAGGACCGAAAACCAATCACAAAGAGTAGGCTACTTTCTTCATTTAAAAACATGAGATACAGTGGGATGGGGAAAAACCGCCATAAAGTCTTGAGACATGTTTTTTAAAAGTTGAACTTACATTCATTTTACATGGCTTTCTAAACATGCGGCTCTCTTGTGCGAGATGCGAGTGCAACGCTGATAGATGTCCCTCTAGAAAATGTGATAAATATGCGTTCTGTGTGAACGGCTTGGTTTCAGTTTCGCCGTAAACAACATCTTCTCCACACTGATGCTCTCGTTTTCCGCAATATATTGAATGAACACGTAGCAGTGCCGCCTCTAGTGGGTTCAACTGGATAGGCTAACAAAAGCATTAAAATGCAATGACACTTAGCCTACATCGTCATCGAATTTCGTGCACCACTGATAAGGCTGCCTGACGGCTGACGCAGACCTAAAATTTGAATGCAACGTTTTTGCATTCGAATGTGATTTTTTTTTTATTATTCGACGAATATTCAAAATTATAATTTTTATGACAGCCCTAATAGAATGTAATACACAGAGAACGCAAAACCAATTTTTTAGTCTTATTGATTTGGAATATATCATATATGAGCATACTTTGCATAGTTTTGTCTCATTTTTAGAGCTTGACAGCCCCTGGTGATTGTATGCTGTGTATGGCGAGCAGCGTGAACATTCTTCAAAACATCTCCTTTCGTGTTCCATGGAAAAAACAAAGCCATATGAGTTTGAAATGACAATGCATTTGAGGGTAATTGTGTCTTTAAATGTTTGAACTAAAATCAAATGTGATATCTTAAAAACCTTTCAATTTCCCAAGCTCAGTAACACTACACATACATGAAAGTATAATTCTTCTACTTCTAAAACTACTTCACTTACATAAGAATCAATTTATCTATATTCTGTATTTTCACTCTGAGTTTAACACCATTTAGAATCACAAGGACCAATTAATCCACCCATAAATATTACCCGTAGATCTTCACACATGATTTGACTGCATTTGTGGTAACCGTAACTGTGAGGTGAGTGTTAGAGCGAGCTCATAGCCATTAATACGCTCCTCGCTGCAGATACAGCCATGCCTGTGCAACAGCTGTCACTAATATCTGTGCATGGATGAACAAGCTATACGCTCAGCTATGCTTTGATTATTATCCTGCTTGTTAGGGCAAGCACACTGCAGTGCAGTTTAAAGGTAATGGTAGGTGTGTTTTCTGAGAGATTTTTGTACATGAGTGTATAATAGCATTTATAATGTTCCAGAAATGGAACATTTTGAGATGGAATTTTAAGTGAACTACTGAACAACTTTGTTCCAAAACGTAGTGGGCTGCCTTGCTGTTTGCTGTCTACATAGGCAGCAGCTTTGTGAAATAACATCCTATTTGTCATAAAAACCTAATCAGTGAATGATTAAAAAAAATAATAAATCACACACACACACACACACACACACACACACACACACACACACACACACACACACACACACACACACACACACACACACAACATTTCTTATTTTGGATTCTTCACAGATCTTGTTAAAAAAAAACAAATAAATAACTTCAATAATTAAACAAATCATAATGTGTAAAATTTAAATAAATTATCTTACAATGAAAACAATCAAAATCAAACACTAAAAACTAAATATTAAATAAATATATTAAATAAATTAATCATTTAATATCTTAAAATCTCAGGAGGTACTTAAGGTAAATGTTTTAGGTCAAAGGGGCTGACAAAATAAATAAATCAAAATAATAAATAATAATAGTGCTTTCTCTGTGAAGGAAACATGCAGTTCTGCCTAAGATTTGTGCAAAAATTAGGCATGTTAGAAGAAAAACTGCCTTTTAGGCCTTTGCATTGGATGATGCCTTAAAAGGCTTTCTGGATAGGCAGCTCAGTATATTTTTCTATCATTGAATGTTTCCTCTCCATCTTGCCTAACTGTAGCCTGGTGTAGCCATAGCTAATGTTGATTTGATGTTGTGATGTTTGTTCCTTGATGTCAAGTGATAATGTGATTTCCAGATCAAAAATCACTCAGCCAGTTAAATCAAATCAAACTGTTATCCCACCAATTATAGGTGCAGGGAATGTGTTGGATTTTCATCATGCAATCCTTTAAAACTATCAGAGTGAGAAATGAGCTTTGATCAGCGTGGGATTTCAAATGCATGAGATCACAAGCAGCACACATGCGCTTCAACATGCTTCTGGGCTGGTCACATACCGGGCTTTAAAGAAAAATTGCAGTGGTCTGAAAAAAGATCCACGATAGATGGTATTTCTAGATTGAAATAAACACAGAGAAGGGACAGGGGAAATGGGCACATACAGCACAAGGTAAACTGTCAGAAAAACAACAGTGCAACCTTACACTAGGTGGCAAAGTACATGAACACACAAAAAGTTACATTTGCTACTACACACAGATCTGATGGACTGAGTGTAAGTGGAATGTGCACGTTTTAATACGTGTGCACAAATGCTTACATACATAAATAAATATTTGCCACCTAATAACGTAAGACTGTGCCGTGATGGCAGATGTAAGTAAAAAAAGGAGAAGATTATACAGTTCAAATATTACAGAAGACGGTGAAATAAAAGACACAAGAAGCATGCAGAAAACAATAATTCAGGCCACTCTTAAAACAAGAAGGAAAAATTCATATTTGAGAAACAGAAGCTATAGCACGTGTTAAAAAGAGGTAGGAATTCATCCAAAAATGAACATTTGGGATTCATTTACTCTCCCTCAAGTACTGTAGTTACAAACCTGTGTGACTTGTAAAACACAAAAGGTGATATTATGAAGAATGTTCACACAGTTCTTTTCCATAGAAAGAACATATACAATAAATGTTAGAAATAAAAAAAGCATCATTAAAATAAAAAAAATAAAATAATTAGAATAGTCTAAATAATACGATGGCGTTTTAGTGCCACGTTAAAATAATTTAAAAAAATCTTAAGATTATGAGCTTAAAGTCGTAATATTTCGAGAATAAAGTCGAAATTACGAGAATAAAGATGAAATATTTCGAGAATAAAGTCGAAATGTTTCGAGAATAAAGTCGAGATGTTTCGAGAATAAAGTCAAAATGTTTCGAGAATAAAGTCGAGATGTTTCAAGAATAAAGCTGAAATGTTTCGAGAATAAAGTCGAGATGTTTCGAGAATAAAGTCGAGATGTTTCAAGAATAAAGCTGAAATGTTTCGAGAATAAAGTCGAAATGTTTCGAGAATAAAGTCGAAATGTTTCGAGAATAAAGTCGAGATGTTTTGAGAATAAAGTCGAAATGTTTCGAGAATAAAGTCGAGATGTTTCAAGAATAAAGCTGAAATGTTTCGAGAATAAAGTCGAGATGTTTCGAGAATAAAGTCAAAATGTTTCGAGAATAAAGTCGAGATGTTTCGAGAATAAAGTCGAAATGTTTCGAGAATAAAGTCGAAATGTTTCGAAAATAAAGTCGAAATATTTCGAGAATAAAGCTGAAATGTTTCGAGATTAAAGTCGAAATGTTTCGAGAATAAAGTCAAAATGTTTTGAGAGTTTAAATCGTATAAATTAAAGTCATACTATTTTGAGAGTATAGCCTATATTGCGCGTGCAAATAACCCAGATTGAGAGCACCGGGAGAAGTTGCCAGGCCACTGGAATTGATTTGAATATTGTTGCATTCGAGCGGCCACATCATCTTACTGGGATGAGGAAGAGTCAATTTTAAGGACTCGCGGAAACAGCTTAATATCAAGAATATGATATTTATTAACAGACTGAACAGCTCTCTTATTTAACCCTTTTTAATACAAATATATGTGGGATTATTAGCAGAAATCATACCATGTGTCATATTCGCAGGGACAATACGCTTGGAAATAATATTTCATATCTTCGATTGCATTCGTTATTTGTATAGTTGAGTAATCGCAATAATTTTGTGTTTTGTTGCTTTTGTAACACAGCTCAGCTTTCAAATTCTGTCAATTTTATCTCGAAATACAAATTATAAATGTGTTTTTCCTCTTTATTTAAAGTTTATAGAAAAGTGAAGGAACATCGGAAGGCATGAAAAAAAACCCAGTAGCCTAATTTAATGAAACGAATGTATCACTGTAATCGGAAAGATGACTGATTCACATGCCGCTTAAACTGAAGTGAATACAGCGATCTGTCACGCCACATTAAAGAGTGTGAAAAACACATTATTGTAATAGACATAGGCTATTGTTTGTAGGCTATTTCGCTATAAAACTGACAGACTGTGAAAGCTGAGACTTTGAAATATCTCGAAATATCTTGAAATATCTCGAAATATACCGGTGCTCCCAATCCGGGCCATTTGTATGCGCACTAGGCTAGAATATACTTTCGAAATATTGTAACTTTAATCTTGTAGCCTACTAATTAATTCTCCTAATTTTGACTTTATTCTCAAAATATTTTGACTTTATTCTCATGACATTTCGACTTTATTCTCAAAATATTTTGACTTTATTCTCGTAATATTTCAACTTTATTTTCGTTATTTCGACATTATTCTCTAAACATTTCAACTTTATTCTCGTAGTATTTCGACTTTATTCTCGAAATATTATGACTAATCTCGTAATTTTAGAGTTTGTTTTTTTAATGTGGCACTAAAATGCCGACGTAGAATAACCTGCGTGCTATATTTCTTTTGAAGATTATATATATATATATATATATATATATATATATATATATATATATATATATATATATATATATATATATAT